TCTCTTATAGTGTAGGTCAAACTACACTTACCTAATTGTTCTTGATGGTTGATTTAGCTTGAAATTGTAATTTACTCTTTTTCTTCCTTCCTTCTTGTTTTCGACTAAGACCTCTTCATTCTCCTCTTCTTTTGTTTGCTTCTTTAAGGTCTCTAATGGTGTTTATAGAATGGTTAGATTATAATTTGGATATATTTTTGGATTGGGTAATGTGAAGGATCATACATCCTATAGAGGTGCGAAATAAATAAAAGTTTTCCTCTATCTAAGAGCCCCAAGATTATGTCGTTGAATCTATTAATCATACATACATGAATAATAAGATAAAAGTAAAAGATTACATCTTGTAGCACGGATCTAAATTCCCTTTTGTTGATTAGCCGTCCAAGTATTTCTCCTCTATCGATGATCCAAGCGACCCAAATATCCACAAATAAGCACTCAAAATTGATAGGGTGCTCGCCTCCACCTTTTCCGATTAAGTATTTCCTTTAGAAATCAATCCCGAGCAACTTTGCGAAAACTTTAAATGAGAGGCTATGAGAATTTCTTGTTAGGGTTTTACGAGAAAACTATTTTCTCCCATTTTTACCTTCCGGCCGTGTGCCCTTTTGTTTTTTGGAGACTAACCGAATTTTCCCTTCCTTTTTCTTATTGGTCGAAATTCTCTATTAGGTTTTTCTTCCTCTCTTTTCGGCACCCTTCATAAGAGGAGAGTGGAGGACAAAGAAAGTGGCGACCTTGAGTCTATAAATGACTCTAAGTTGTTGATTCCTTATCCTCCAAGGATAAGGAGTTATTTTATATGTTGACTACTTGATATCTATCTTTAAAATATTCATTCTCATCCAATAAGATTGATGTTTATCCTTCCATCAAAATTATCTTAAGGCTTTTAATTAAACCTAACGGGCCAAAACTATTTTAGCCGAATTAAATTATTTGGACTATCCAAATAAATATTCTTAGATTATTTTGGTAGGGTCCAAATTAGGAAACAATTTCTAAAAATATCCTTTAACCTAAATTAGGAAACTCCTTTCCTTTTAGGTTTTTTATTTTCAAATTTGAAACTAACTTTCAAATTAGGAAATCGATTTCTCAAATAGGAAACTTTTATTTTAGGAAACTTTCCATTTTCCATTTTAAGAAACTTTCCATTTTGGGAATTTTTTCCAAAATGGGAAACTATCATAATTGGACGCTTTTTCCAATATCTTTGCTTCTCATTTGTAATGTGAATACTTGAATTTATGCGTGTGACTTAATAGACTCCTAGATATGTTGACAATGTATCAAGAATAAAAGACTCCTCTTTTATCTCTTGATACATAAATCAAGATTGACCTCTAGCAAGGTATCATGACTACCCAATTCTCTAGGAGGATTAGTTAATCCATTATTACCTTTCATGAGCATAGTTACCATACAATTCATTCCTCATGTCAACTTATCACAAGTGTGATCTCAAACTTGGTTATTGGTCTTGTTTGATTATGATCACACAAGTTTTCTTTGATTCTCAAATGTCTTAGCTCTTAGAGTAAATCCACTATGCTCTATTGGTGTACTCTTACCGTGGCCATAGACTTCTTGAGCGGACATTTATCGAAGTACAGTGTGACAACTCCTTTAGCATACAATGAATGACATGCCTATCTTAGCCATACACCTATCTTCATTGGATTCCTAGTGCACCCAACGAATCGCCCACATGCAACCTATTAATGGGTCCATCGAAACGAGTGTCAAAGTGCATAAATGCTCCAATGAGATAATAGTGATGACTTCAAGTCTAAGGACTATTTGTACCAATCTCGTATGAGATTTTCATAGACTAAAACCAAATGGGTTCTCATAGCGAGTCAAGTCCAAGTATATGTTCTCTAACATAAATCACCTAAGTGCTTGCTTTGGCATCACCATGCCAATAGGTGTGAGATCTCCTACTCGCTATCATATAGCATGAGCATAGCACTCACAAGTCTATCCGTATATTATCAATGTCCATTCTTGACGATGTTATGACTTAGGATATTTAATGATATCATTTATGTGTATTAGTGTTTGTCTCACATCTTTCGATCAATCACTATTACAAATGTATATCCTAAGGATTTCTATCTAATTCTACTGAATTTATCAACATGTAAACATAAGAATTAATAGAATAAATTTTTTTATTATTATTAAAATAAATAATGCAATAACATATTAACATAAGCTCATCCAAACATGGCTGGATCTTGGGCACTAACACTAACATATTGCTAATTTCTACTAATTCTCCTAAGTTCTTTTTGGTTTCTCTAAGCTTCCATTTGTTCATTAAGTCTTCCTTATCTTTTCATTGGCCAAATATATAGGCAATAAATAGCATGAGATGAATGAAACTTGGTGTCATCTTAAACTTTGCTCGCCTATGTCATTTTTCTTAGCCTAATAGATTTACTTAGCCTTGTTAATTTACTTAACAATTTCTTTGCAATTTTCTTGAAATTTCTTCAACTTTTCATTTCTTCTTATTTTCTTCTCCATGGCCGAACTAAACCAACTCCTAATTCCAATTTCATTGCTGGAATTCCGGTTCAATTTTAGTTGGGTAGAGCCGAATAAAACGGTTCCTAAGTTTTCCAAAAAATTATATTTTGGTCCCTAAATTTTATAATTCATTTCAATCACACCCCCTATTATTGGCTTCTCTCTTTGTAATTATACTAATCCAACCCTCTTTTAACAAAATTTCCAAATTAATATGGGTCTCTTGACTCCTTCAATTATTTAATTCAATAAGCCAAACTTTTACCTTTTATAAGTACTCGTATTCACTACACCAAAAACATGCATTGCGAGCGATTTTTTTCACTTTGGAGGTGGTTATAAATTATAAAGGAAGTTTTATGAATCGCCTACAATGCCACCATCTTTACGTTGTAGAAGTGATTTTGGCAACCATCGTGGAATTGTAAGGTGGTTTTTTCGAGGCGATTACAACCGCCTTTACAATAATAATTGTGTTTTTTTTTTGTAATTTTTGCAATGGTTTATAACCGTCTCTATATTCTTGAATTTTTTTAAAAAATTAATAGGGGCAATTTCAACCACTCGACCTTAAATTTTAAATTTTATAGGGATGGTTGTGTAACCACATTGAGAATTTTAGTTTTATTCACTACACCAAAAAAGAGCATTGCAGGCGATTTTTTTGACTTCTGTGAGGCGGTTATAATCATATCTACAGTTGTAAAGGCGGTTCGAGGACCGCCCCAAGACCACCCGCAATGTCGTCGTCTCTATAGTGTAAGGACAGCTTTGACAACCATCGGGGATTTCGGAGCGGTTCAAACCACCTCAAATTTTTTTTTAAAGCAGCTTGAAACCGCCTCTATAATATCAATATTATCGTCAAAGTTATTTTACATGTAATTTTTGGAGCAGTTTAGAACCGCTCTACATTCCGAAGTCCGCAAATTCAAAACCGCCCTAAACTATAAAATTCATAATTTGTAGATATCCAATATATCCCGTTTTATTTTTTAAAATGGTATATATACGATGATTTATCGAGGCAGTTGTGTTACCACCTCTAATGTTTCAATTAGTTTTATTTAACTTTCAAATTTAATATTGAACTCAAAACCAAAAACAAAAAAATTACATATTGTTGAAAGCAAATAAAAGATTAAATTTAAGTATTGAACACTTGTTCCAAATAGCTAAACAAAGTTTCTAATACATCTCAAAATAAATAGCTAATGTTCATAAAAAGCAACCCTCACACTTTTATTAAAAAAATGGAACAGACCTATCCTCTTTCTTTTCTTTCCAAACATGGTCAAAAGAACTAAAAAGCCCACTTTCCTAAATCTAGATATTTTTTACAAGATTGCATCACCAAATGCAGTAAGAAGATATGCCTTAACGTAGTAAACTTTGTAGATAACTAGCCAAGCCGATAGGGCACCCCCTCTTGTCAATCCTTGATCTAGGCCCATAAAACTTGCATTTTCCAATCCTTGAGCTAGTACCATAAAACTTGCATTTTTTTAATAGACTATCAGCTGTAATAGATGATGTCCGGGTGTCATGGCCTCAACGAGATGACATCTCCGCCATACCTCATCTCTCGAAGCTTTTGGACTCGGCCATAAACCTATGTAATAATAAAGTAACACCAAAAGTTAAGTAAATTGTCTAAAATAACAACAATGTCCGCATCTTGATATTGACCTATGTCCATAACACCAATAATGGAACCAACCCCGTAAAGTACCTTTGAAAGAATTCCATCCACAATTTGAGGGTTTAAGTGTAGGAAATCTCTGCTCCTAGTTGTGTAAGAACTATGAAATCTATTCCAAACAAAATTAACAACTCCAGTGGAAATCATGTGCCGATGTATCAACAAAGAAAGAATTAATTGCATGGCTTTGATAGAAGTAAATATAATTAATTGCACCAACCACATATTCTTTTTTTATGCTTATACCCCTATTCTAGTAGCCTATAACTAGAAAGAACATCACCCTATTTTCAAAAGCCATTCACCTTATCTCTCGTCCACATAAATTCTACCTCAACAAGCTAGCACCTTAACCTTTTCCTCTCCGCTCCAAGCACTCCCTAGCAGTCACACTTGTTCTTCACTAGCGTCCACCTACCATATAAGGCACCTACCAAACTTTTCTACTTTATCACTAGTCATAAAGGCTTGTTTAATGCCATAACCGAGCTCGGTTAATTAGTAAAATAGGATGAAAATTTATGCCATGATTGGTCATTATGCTATGGGTCTCAATTGTCTGACATTGATTAGATGATTCATTCTTACTTGCTAAAGTAACCATATATGAATTATTGCTTTCATAATCAAACCAAACTCCTTTAAATTAAGTTTAGCCACTAGTGCGTTTGAACTCTTGCAATTAAGTAAAATATCAATGCCAAGCATAAAAGGAAACAATTGAACATGTTACAAAGACGATCAAGAATAAGAGTCTTCATTCAGCTAAAGTAAAATTCTACACAGAGTTGTAACACTCAATTAATTAAATCTCTAAAACATTTAAATAAACAACATGGGCAAACATATGAAGAAGCAGAACTTCTTACGCAATATTTCGGCACGTATTTGATCGAAAAAAGTGGAGGCAAAAGCATCATCACATCCTTTAGATCCAAATCCATTAGACCGCATTTTCCTACAAAATCAAACAATAACAATTTACTAAACAAAAATTTCCCATTTTATTTACAAATATAAGCACTATATTTATTACTTTGAAAATATGGTTCCTCCATCTCACTACAATTCTTCCTTTTCCTCTTGCCTATATCAGCATGAACTGGAACAAAATGCCGGTAGTTTGCCATTCCTAAAAAAAATTCCCCAAAGCCAAAGAAACCAAAGAAATAATCAAACTTTATTCTTTATTCAATAACAAACTCACATGAAGACAGTTCCATACTAACCCTTAAAGTAACATGCCTCCGGTATTCTAGCAATAATATCAGCATGAAACTCATCAATTTCTTGCTTTACATCATTAATGGGATTGACTTCTTCTTCTTTTTAGATATTTTCAATAACATACCGTGACAAGAGTGAAGCTCTCCTAAACAAAACTTCCTAAAATGCCAAATTTACAACATTACCTATTAAAATTAATCATGAATAACACAAAGAAAAGATGATAATAAAGGGTTATAACTGGATTTGGAGTTTTTTTTATTAAAGTACCTTGAGAATTGATTCACTCCCTCTAAGATTTTGGATAGCTCGAGATGTCGAAGAAGGATAGCCTTGATAATGAACTACAAAACCCTTATTGCTTGGTATCAATCCACTCACTCGTCCCTTATTATCACTCCTATTCATCTTTTTCTTTTATCACTCCCATGAAAGAAAAAAATTGAAACACATAGGTGAAATAAAGTAGAGAAACTCACATTGCTTTTAGCAAGAACAAAAAAAATTGGAATACCCAAGTCAAAGAAATGGCAAAAAACCCAAAATTAAATCTAAAATCAAGAAATCTTAACCCCCGAACAAAACTCAAATACCCAATTCTCAAAAGCCCTAAAATATAGAACTTGAACAGATAACTAAAAACCTCAATTCAAAACAAAAATCTCTTAAACAAAGAAAAAAGATCTTCTTTTATTGCTTACCGAGTTCCGCTATGATATCTAGTAATCTTGTCAATATAAAGCAATCTAGCATCACACACTTCTTAAGCTAATGTCGTGTGGTAGGAAATCGTTATTTATGAAGGATTCTCCTCATGTTTGGTTAAATAGAAAGCGAGGAGAAGAAGAGAAGGTGGAGAAGAAGAAAAGCCCTAAAAGAAAGATATTTCTTTCTCCTTTTCGTAACCTAAAATAGATAGAAAAAAAATGCGGGAGCCCGAGTCGCTTAAAACATGCAGTGAGGCGGCTTTATCAACTACCCCATATTTGTTTTTTGTTACAATACGTGCAAGCTAAAAACTATTAAATTTTGGGGCGGTTTTCTTGATCGCCCTAAACATTCCGCCTCTATAGTCTTTTTTTGTTGTAGTGATTCCGCCTTCAAATTCAATTATTTACTCTATTTTTTGGTCAAAAAACAAAAAAATTTAAAAAGAATTACATCTTGTTGAATGCATAAAAAAATTATATAGCTTACACAATATTAAATTTGTAATTATCAAATTCTAAATATATAAAAAGTCTTCAAACATCTACAAGAAAAAAATAATAAAAAAATAAAATATTAAACACTTGATTGAAATACATAAAGAAAGTTCCCGACATTGTTAAAATAAGTAGTTAATGTATAAAATTCAATATCATCAATCTTAATAAGTGGTCCGAGTAGTGGATAAGAGAGTCCTCTTCACCCTTTCACAATCGGTTCTCAACCTCCTAAGTGCTCTAATATTGCCACTAATATCCTTCTCGTTCTTCCTCTTAAATTTTTGAACAAAGTGGTTCACCATTCCGTTATCAAAATCTTCACCTCCAATATGGGTATCTCCAACAAGTGGCTCTCACCTCAAAAATACCCTTCTCAATGGTAAGAAGAGAGACATCAAAAGTACCACCACCCAAATAAAAAATTAGCACATTTTTCTCACCAACATTGGTTGTCTTCTTGTCAAGTCCATAAGCAATGGCAAGCAGCAGTAGACTCATTAATAATATACATAACATTCAAACCAATAATAACACTAGTATCTTTTATGGCCTATCTTTGAGAGTCATTAAAGTAAGTAGGAACCATAACCATAACATTCTTGATAGTTGAGGCAAGGTAAGCAGGAACCATAACCATAACATTCTTAAAAGTTGAGGCAATGTAAGCAGCTGAGGTAAGGTAAGCTTAAGCAATCTCATGCATCTCAATGAGAGCCGGAGATAAAATCTCCTTAGTTGTAAACTCGCTTCTCCTCACCCTTATAGGTAACCGTAATAATTGGTTTGTCACCGGGACCAAGCAATGGCCTTGAATGGCCAAAGCTTAATATACTCTAGATCGAAGCATCGGTAAACCTCCTACCAATCAACCTATTTGCATCTACAATGCATAACATAATACCAATTACTAACAAAATTCATTCAATTAACTTACTAAAGACTAAAAATTAAAACTACAAAATTCGATAAAGATAAAAAGTAATCTCTAAACAAGTAAAGTTTCTATAGAAACTACTAGGTAGTAGGGTTGTAATTAAAAAAAAAAAAAACTACCATATCTAAAAGCAAGTATTCCAAATATCCACCAAAACTAAAATTATACGTAGAATTAACATATTGAAACAATATGAAAAATTTCATCCGAAATGCTTGGATCATTCATGATTAAGACCTATAATAACACAAATAGAATAAAGTTAGAATTAATATACTTTAATTCCTTTGAAACTAAAAAGCTTGCTCCTAGCTAGTAAACTTTACTAACTTTTCCTATTTTAACTTGAGATTTCATAATCGGGAATGTGAAAAAAAAAGGATAAGATTTTCGTTGTAGGTGAAACTTTAAAGAAGAAAGTGAAATTACTTAAAAAAAAAATTACTACAAAAGATCATACATAAGACAATGGGAACACATTCACATAATTATATCACATGTCCATGAAAATCAATAGTTAGCAATTAACTACTCTTAATTGAAAAATTTTATAATACGAAGGAGTAACTAGTGGCATGTACAGTAGTTACTCTTTGGATCCACTTTGAGGAGAGAGATAGACGCATAAAAAAAATAAAATTACATCCATACCTATTAAAAGTGATAAGAAGATTTCCATATCCACTCAAATTTTTTTATTTTCTCTCTCCTATTTTTCTCTATCTCTTTTTGTGTTTCTATCTCTCTCCTCAAAGTGAATCCAATGAGTAACTACCGTACATGTCATTAGTTACTTTTTGTGTATTATAAAATTTCTCCTCTTAACTACCTCTCTTAAATATGGGAATTGATGTGCCCACCCTCGAAATCTTATAAGAAAAAAGTTCGGTATATCAAATCTAATTATCTAATCAAGAAGAACTTGGGAAAATTAAATCAGTTAGATAGTAAAATATGGGAAATGGAATAACAAGCAAACACAGATTGGTCGAAACTAGTTGATGCATTTTCAAGTGACAAATACAAACCTGAAGAAACAATCTTGAGAAGATCCATTTCTTTTCTAACCAAAATAGACATACTTTGAAATGAAATGTTGATACCGACAAAAAAAGCCCCAAAAAGATCCCGACATAGATTAAGAAAAACAAGAAATGACACTCATATAACAAGACCACATCACTTATGAGATTATTATATAAATTTTGAAAACCCACCGTTTAAAGAGCTTCTCACTTAAGAATCAACGAGTCTAGGTATGCAATTGAAGTTCATAACATTACTTTTGTCAAGGAAAGGGGGCAAAATGAGAAGACAAAAAAAAACCTAATTTTTTAGGGTTGGAAGGGAAGATGAAAAGCACTAATTATTTGTTATTGATGGAGAAGATGAAAATCCTAATTTCTTTATCAAGGGAATGAGGCGGTTTGTTATTGAAGGAGAAGATTCAAGGGAAGAAGGGTCGTTTGTTGTTGAAGGAGAAGATTCAAGGGGGATGGTTTGTTGTTGAAGAAGAAGATTCAAAGGAAGGGGGTTGTTTGTCATTGAAGGAGAAGAGATGAAAAATCCAAATTTCTTTTTCAAGGGATGGCGACAGTTATTGAAGGAGAAGATGAAAAGACCTAAAAACACTCTTGTGTTACGTGAGGGGCGAGAGGGTAAATAGGAAAAAAATATGAAGTATTAAAATTTTAAACTTGGGGCGATTTTAATAATCACCTCATAATTTTGTTTTAAAAATAACCGAATGCACATCTTCTTTTATTCTTTCGAGGTGGTCAAAACAACCGCCTCAATAATTTTACCCCTATAACATAATTTTGGTGTAGTGTTTTTTACCAAATAATTTCCTAATTGTTTTTCCTTGTTTCTTAATATTTATGTGTATATAAATAATATTTTATACACACATAATATTAATTCACACATTTAATATAACTAATTACTCCTCAATTAAATATTTATATGTTAATAAAAATATTCCTCTTTCCATACATACATATATAATTATTTAGGAGGTTTTTGGTCAAAGTTATTACATGTCATGCCTAGTGAAGTGAAGGATCATGCATCCAATAAAGGTGCTCGAATAAACAAATTTTTTTGCTCTCCTCCATCTAAAGTATCAAGGTTATGCCGTTGAATCAACTAATCATACATATATAAATCAAGACAATAAGAAATTACCTCTTGTCGTGTAGAATTCAAACTTTATGGAAGGAACCACCTAAGTGTCCGACCTCTATTGAGTTATCCACACAATCTAATTACTCACACAAGAAGCAATAAAAATTATTGTATGCTAGGTCCAACTTTTCCCGTAAAGTAAATTTTTCTCTCAAGAAATCACAACTCTAGTTTACACTATTCCGAATTGGATATCTTAGATGGTTTGGTCAAATGAAGGACTCATCTATATATAGTCCTTCACCTTCTCAATGGATGACTATGATCAATCCAATCTAATGATTACAATTCATTCTTTAGAATTATCTTATCTAGATATATTTAAAGAACTATCAAGATATATACATGAGTGACTCTTTCTAGAATTCTCTATGACATATGTAGATTTTTCTTAGACAACTTAGAGGCTTTTCACATGCTCTATAGTCTTTTAGAGGCTTTCGGATCTATCTAATAGTCCCAATTAATCTTCATAAACATCTCTCTTCGTACGGGGTGTAACAATAAGCTACGAGTAAGAGTCAAGTTGAACATGTGAAATCATTTTTAAAATTATTTCAATTAAAAACCTTGTACTATATTGTGAAGTCTACTAAATATATTAAATTAAAGGTAATAAAAAAAATCATCTAATTTTATAATTTAATGTTTCTTATGTTTTTCATAATTTTTATTGTTAAAAAACACGATTTGTTCTTCCTTATGTATTGATTCTTTTTTTTTTTTTTTTGTAATAGTCTAAATAAAAAATTTAATTAAAAATTAAGAAAGTGCCTTAATATATTTTTTTTCATAAGATGCATCAAAACAATAAAGCAACAATTAAATAAAAACTTATATAAAAATTAACAAATGATTTTTTTTTTCATTCTTATTAGATGTTAATTAGAAGATTAAGTTTTTAAAAACATGTACATTTGATTTATATATATTCACAAAATAATCAATAATATTAGTATAAAAAGATATATTTGAATCATAAGGTGGCTCCCCTAAAACATTATATATATATATATATACAAAATAATCAAGAATATTAGTATAAAAAGATATATTTGAATCACAAGGTGGCTCTCCTAAGACATTATTTTAATTATTTAATTGGAAAGAAATTGGTTTTAGAATATTAAAAAAACTTAATAGCAAATGGTTGGTGTCATGTGTGTAAATACATAATTAATTTTTAATATAACTAATTATCTCTCTCTCTCTCTCTCTCTCTCTCTCTCTCTCTCTCTCTCTCTCTCTCTCTCTATATATATATATATATATATATATATATATATATATATATTGTGACCATACTTAATAGTTTCGGAGTATGCATCATAAATAAAAAATATTAAAAATAATTAAATTATAATAAATATATTAAAGTTAATAAACTAAAATAAAAATAATTAAAAAATTGATTCTAATAAATTTTGATGATATAAAGAAGAAGTAAATAAAATACGTGAATTTTTTTAATTGATTGTTTATCTTTAAAAAAAATGATACAAATTATTTGAAATACACATTTAGCTTTTTAATACTCTCATTTAAAAAAATAAGAATCAATTATATAAATTATATCAATATATTTAGAAAAAGATAAAATAATCATATTCTAAAATTTTATTCAAAAATTTATACATAGAAAAAAATAAAACATATTTATTAAAAAATAAAATTATATAAAAAATAAAAAAATAATTTGATGAGAATTTTTATAAAAAATAAAAAATTAAAGAAATCAATTTTAAATAAATAAGAATAATATAATCCGATATATATCTTTATTCTAAAATTTAAAAAAACATCATATATATTTTATTACTATTAGTCTGTTGGAAAATAAGAGAAAAGAACATTTGATTTTTCATAATTTTTACATCCAATTAAATAATTAAAAAAATTAAAATATATATTTCTAAGAAAAAAAGCACGTAAAGAAAGAGTCATGTGTCCTTGATCTTGTCAAAATATGTGCGTCTAATCTCGTAATCAAAGACTTTGTTCCTAGCGAGATTCATTCTCGGTTCGATTTATTTGCGATTTAACTTGTGCCTATGTCAAAACTAAGTAAAAAATAGAAAATATAATGGATTAGCAAATAATGAAAAAAATTAGTTTAATTAATTAATTTTAGAAAAAATCAATCATGTACAATTTTTTTTTTTTTTAAAAAGCTAAACCTTTGGTTTCAAAAAGATGATGGATGACTCAGGGAGCCAAATCCTTTCCTCTTCAAGTGAAACTACATCTGGCAATGGTGACTTAACCATGATGTTTGAAAATCAAACCCAGAGATCCCACGTTGGCCAGCCAACTTGAAACGGAATCTGGTACTGTTAACGACATGTCGGTCTAAAGTTTACTAAAGCCAAAGCTCAAAAAAGAACCTCCTTTGTCAATGGTTACAAGCTTTGGATCTTCTCCCTCTCCTGACTGAGTCCTGGCTCACTCACTCACCGCCACTCGCTCCTCTCTCCCTCCCTTCCTCTTAACAAGGTTTCGCTTCTCTCTCTCTCATTGCAATTCTTTTTCCATGTTTTTTTTTTAATTGATAGTTTCTTATAAATGAAGGGGAAATATCAGAAAGAGTATTTATATTCCAAAGTTTGCATTTTTCTTTGCTTATTCTTTTATGAAACGTTAATAATGACTTTACTCTTCTGGGTACAGTTTCTTCTCTAAGAGGATTCAACCTTGGGGCTCCTTTTCCAAATTCCTTGATGGGTTTTTGAGTTATTATTAATTGGTTGATGGTGTGAGCTTCCTTTGAAGAAGAAAAAAAAATGATACTTTCAGCTCTTTTAACTTCAGTTGGAATCAATCTTGGATTGTGTTTGCTGTTTTTCACTTTGTATTCAATATTGAGGAAGCAACCTGGCAATGTGTACGTGTATGCACCTCGCTTGGTTGATAAAGAGAAATCTGAGGAACAGGACAGTGATGATTTTGATTTGGAAAGGTTATTACCTACTGCTGGTTGGGTTAGAAATGCTTGGCAGCTTTCTGAAGATGAAATCTTGTCGATTTCAGGGTTAGATGGTCTTGTCTTCATTCGTATCTTTACCTTCAGGTTAGGAAATTAATGTCATTTAGTTGGGTAAAAAGATTTCAAGTTTTAATCAAGATTTGAAGAGAGGGAGTTTTATTTTTTATTTTTTATTATTATTATTTTGTGTAAATTATCTATAAGTAGCACTACATTTATATAAATTACAATGGAGAGACTCAATGAACATCATAGGTGATGTTGAGTTGTATAAAATAAACAAAGAAGAAAGACAAGAATCAAGTAGAATGATGAATTTCTTGTCAAATGTCAGTTTAGTTCTTTTTTCTGTTTTCTTTTTCTTAACAAATTTTCGTCACTTCTAATGGCTGAGGATGAAACCACAGTTTGGAAATTCTACAGCCTAAGTTGTGGAATTGATTTGGCTAAAATAAGTAGAATGCATAGTACAAAGATGCAAAAGAATGTTTAGAGTGTTGGAAAACAACTTTCAACTTAACAGAAATAACTATCTTGTCACGGACTTTATTGACAACTTTACTTGATGGGCTATAACATGCTTTTGGGTTTTGACATATGGTTGTGAGAAAATGTGTGCTATTTTTTAGTGGCAAGATACAGCAGGAGTGTCTAGGAAGGTGTGTGTGTGTTGAGATTCAATTCATACAGGACTTGCTGGGTTTTTTTTTTTTTTTTCAAATCATACTTTTTAATGAGGTATATACTCTCCAAAGCTACACTTATGCTATATTTCTTTCCACTCATAACAAAAACCTCATTTCTTTGCATACGTATCAGCCCCAATGTCTGTATCCCTATCACAATCAATCAGCGTATTACTAAGCCTATTTATTCTTTTACAGTGCAATCTATTGTTCTTGACTTTCTTTTCGTCCACTATTTTCGTTCAGCCTTTCTTTATGTCCTTCTTTTGATACAGCTTGAAAGTGTTCACAGTTGCTGGGGTTATCGGAATCCTTATCCTTCTTCCAGTTAATTATTTCGGGAATCAACTAAATGATGATTTTGACAATTTGCCAAACAAGTCTTTGGATTCGTTCAGTATATCAAATGTCAATGATGGTTCAAACAGGTAAGCATTAGTTGGCTAGATGAACAGAATGTAATTGCTCAATTGTTTAAGACTAAACCATACAATGTTAAACTTAACATGAAATGCATTTGATGGAAAAGTTCCATGGAGAAGATCTCTAGTAACATCTTTTTATTTTATTTTTTTCAATTTACACTTCAATTTTTTTCCCTTTTGGCTGATTGAATTCTCTGTGCTCTTTGAGCATTTAATATTGGTGCATGGAGGAACCCTAGGAATGTTTCATCTGTTTTCTTTTTCTTTATCGTTTTGATAGAGAAAGAATGCTACTGAGTGAGGAGAATGAGGGCATTGTAAATGGAGGATTAGATATCCTCAAATGGAAAGAGGAGAATATCATAGCTAACGTAAAAAAGCGCTTGACCTCTTTGCATGTCTGATATTTTTGAAGGTTCCTGTGAGAGAGCACCATTTTGAAGCCAAGAAAACTACTTTATCCCAAGGTAGCTGAACATGTAAAAGCCTCTTGAGTTAGCTCATAGTCACCAAACAATTGCAAATACTGTGCGCCACCCGAGAATATCAATCGCCCCTTTTCCTCATGGAAGCCCCATATTTCATTAACTACAACTCATCCTGGGTATTAGGATGAATGCCAAACCCAAAAATCAGAAAAAATTGAAAATATTCTATTCTGTAGCAAGAAATGTTTGTTTAAACTCTGATATGGAATTGGAGATGAGTTTCCTAACAGCTTTTGTTTCTCTTGTGCTTGTCTAACTTAGGTAGTGAAGCTGTCCATGTATAGGTTGAGTTTTTCTGAGAGTAGATTCGTCTTGCAACCTATAACTGACTGTTATGCTAAATTATGATGGGATAAGCACCTCTTTATTGATAAAATTTCTTATTAGGCCATTGGTTACACTTTGGGATGTTTTCTCCTAGCTTAACTTCTTAAATTTGAAGTTGAGTATAGAATCCTAGGAAGCCCAGAACAGCAGAAATGCTCATTTTTCCAGGAACTTGAGCTTTTCTATGTTTCCTTCAATGATAAAACGTAATTTGTATGACTGCCAGCCATAGAAAATTTCCGCAAATCAGATTTCCAAAGCCTTTAGTCATCAGTGATAATTATATCTTGCAAGCTGGTGACTATAAATGGGATTAATTATTTTTCATTCATATGACTGTTAGATATGCAGGAACCCCATTCTTTTGCTGTTTACACCATGTAAATAATGAAAGAAATAAAATTGACCATTTATCCAGGTGTACTAGACAATTTGTTATCAATGTTGCTGGTTTGGTTTTTCCATAGTATCACAACCCTTATACCAGATCATTATTTTAACTGATTTGGGAATGTGGAGTAGGGTTTGAGGTGTGGATTAAACATGCCATGGAATGGACCAACACTATAATGAAAATAAAGTTTCTGAATGTTATCTGGAAAGTTCATTTCAGCTCACTTTAAACCATAGGTTTTCCACTTTTTCCTAAGATAACTTCTACATTAGCTGGCAATTGGCACACTTTGGTTAGGTAGAACTCCAATATATGCCTATTGCCCCCTTGGAAATTTAAACTATGGTCATTGTTAAGAAAATCTCATCTTATTTTAGTTTTATATTTCCTAGGTTGTAATTGCATAATTTTAAGTTTACTTTTATATAACACAAAGTTCCTGTTGACATATTATTTAAGACTTCCACGTTCCACCCAACCTCTGCGCTAATTCTCATAGCTCTCCTTATGCCTTGAATGAAATTTCTTATTCTTTTATCCTGCTATGTTAAGTTTTCCTTAACTTGGTTTTATTTCTTTGTTCAACTTTTACTGACTTTAAATTGGTTGTAAAGTTGCATATTTCATTTTGTTGACATAGCTTCATCTAAACATTGCTGTCTCTATTGGTCTTAGATTCTCTTGGTTTGTATAATTCTTTATTGCATCACAAACAATCATGTAGCTATTCTATGTTAAGGTTACCCTGATTATTAGTTTTGGTTTTCCTCAAGGTTATGGGTTCACTTCTCTGCTGCATATGTTTTTACTGGAGTTGTCTGCTATCTTCTTTATTGTGTAAGTAATACTGTGATTTCTTGAGCAAAAGCCACCGTGCTTAACTGGTTCCTCAAAATGAAGTAATCAGAAACTTTCTAACTTGTTAGTTACACAATGTGCAGGAGTATAGCTATATGTCGGCTAAAAGGATTGCTTGCTTCTATTTATCCAAACCACAGCCAAATCAGTTTACAATATTAGTCCGCAGTATCCCTTCCTCATCTGGAAGAAGCTTCAGTGAAACCGTTGAGAGTTTTTTCACTGAGTATCATCCGTCTACTTATCTTTCACATTCAGTGGTTTGTCGAACAAGAAAAATTCGAGATCTCATTGTAAGCATTCTGGGTGAAGTGCAGACTACTTCACTAATTTCGGTCCACTGTGATCACATACACTTCAGAACCATAGTTACTAACCTATTTTTTTCAATTCGAATTATGTCTTTTCTTGTATTTATTTGCTACTTAACAGTCTTTGGACCTGCCAATCCTGCACTCTTAGTTAGCCCTAAAGATATTCTCTTTGGAAAACTGAGGGTTGACATGAGATAAAACAAGAAGACAATGTTTACAATTGAAAAGTCAAGCCTGATTGTCCTGAAAAAAAGTTCATCCTTTCATTGATGCATCAAGCTAGCGTCTTTTGGGAAAGGGAATCGGTCATTAAATTTGTATGTCTTCTTGTCAGGCACAAACATAACTTTGATATGTCCTAGAAAGCTTTGAATATGTTTATCAAGTAAAATTCCTTTATGTTCATGGAACGTGGAGGTGATGGACCTTCTTATTGACATGATATTTGTTGAATTTGAAAAGGTTCTGTTTTACATATCACATAAGAAAGTTTTTTTTTTTTTTTTTTTCCTCCTTCACATGCTTTCTTTGTGAAACATAATAATATGGTCTTAGTTTATATATTCGATTGTCATCATTTTTAATCTCTTACTTACTGTTGTTTAAAACTGTTTTATCCTTTGTAGAGTGATGTGGAGAAGTTGTGTAGAAAGCTTGGGCGCTTGAAATTGAATACTCATAGTGAGCAAAATTTTAAACGTGATGGCTTTTTAGGACTGTTTGGACGTAAAGTTAATCTTTTAGATCACTATGAAAAGAAGTTGGAAGATATGGAAGAGAATTTGAGGATGGAGCGAAATTTATTGGCTGGAGAGGTGCGTGACATCAGATCTCAGTATTTGAATTTCTTAATTCAATGAGACATTCAAATGGTAGTACTGATATATATGTGGAGAATATCCTACTCTTAATCTGCTTAAATTTTCTTTGGCCATTAATGCAACTGTTGGCACTCAGGGGGAACAACTTTGGAGTTTTTTGTGTCAATCAGCTTTTAACTTTAGAAACGTAAATGTAATCTCCCACTGCCAGTCTTGTGGAGGGGGTTCTAGGAGGGTGATCTGTGCATAACTCTTTAACTTTCAGAAGCTTTTGATAAAGTGGATCACTATTGAACTGACTGAGTTTAAGATTGGGTGGCTATGAATGTGTTGGCTACTTAAGTTCATAGGGTGAACTGCAAATCATAGAGTTGTCAAAGGATGTTATAGCTTAAAAAGCTCCTGCACCTATTCATGTCAATGGAATGTACACTTATTCTGAAGGACTTTTAGGAATAGTAATAGAGTACAGCTGCATATGGATGGATCGATGATTATGAACACAGCGCAAGCAGATGAAAGTTCTCATTTGTTTTGAGTTCAACTCTACTCGTCTGCTCTCTGGAAGTGTGGAAATACCCTTCTGTACATTCTATTATTACAGAATCCCTTTCATGCATTTGATGTCAATGCAAAGGTGAAATCTTATGCAACATATTGTTCTAACTATACACTTCTAAATTTTTAGGAAGTTCCAGCCGCTTTTGTTTCATTCAAGTCACGATTTGGTGCTGCAGTAGCCTTGCACATCCAACAGGGGGTCAATCCCACAGAGTGGGTCACTGAGCGAGCTCCTGATCCTCAGGATGTTCATTGGCCTTTCTTTTCTGCATCGTTCATTAAAAGATGGATCTTCAAACTGGTTGTGTTTGCTGCATCTCTTGCTCTTATTGTACTTTTCCTTATTCCGGTTGTGATAGTGCAAGGTCTTGCTAATCTCGATCAGTTGGAGATATGGTTTCCTTTTCTGAAAGGCATACTGAGCCTGTAAGTGCCAGTTGTAATTTCATCCAAAGCCAATCCCAGGGTTCCCTTGATGCTATTTGAGGTTCTTTTAAGTAGATATATATCAGTATGTTCTAACTACCTCGTTAAGTTGCATACCTGCCATCACAACTTTGAGCATGCAGAAAATGATTGTGTAGTCAAGTGGTTTTTTCTGGAAAGTATTGAATATAGGAAATTAATGAATTCAATTAAATAGGGGAATCACCTGGTTGCCTAATGCATGTAGGTGAAAACCAAAGTGTTCAAATCTGTTGCATGCAAAAACTTGTTTTCTTGTCTCTTAAACTTGGCATGCATTATCTACAGTAATTAGTGATGTTGAATTCACTGTTGAACTAAATTACTGATTTCAAGTATTTCAAATTCCATTTACGTTTATTAAGTTCTTTGAAATCATTGATTAGTCTAATGTTAAGACATGGAACTAATATGCACACTTTTTTGAGCTGCAGAGCTGTTGTCAGTCAAGTAATTACAGGATATCTTCCAAGTCTCATTCTTCAGTTGTTCCTCTTTTTTGTTCCACCAATTATGTTAACGTTTTCCGCCATTCAAGGATACATTTCTCGCAGTCGAATAGAAAGAAGTGCTTGTTCCAAGATGCTATGGTTTACCGTATGGAATGTCTTCTTTGCAAATGTACTGTCAGGATCAGCTCTCTATCAAGTCAATGTCTTCCTTGAGCCCAAAAATATTCCCAGGTTACTAGCTGAAGCTGTCCCGGGTCAGGTGGGAATGTATCTCTGTTGTGTAAATTTTTTCCAGTTTTTTCTTTTGTTTTTTCTCCTTAATATCTGCAGAGTTTCTTCTCAGTTTTCTGTGATTTGAACGAAGTTTAAATTCCTCTAATGGATCCCTTATTCTGGGTATAGGCATCGTTCTTCATTTCATATGTTGTCACTTCTGGGTGGACTAAGCTATCATCAGAACTCCTCCGATTGGTTCCTCTGGTTTGCAGTTTTTGGAAAAGACTCTTTTCAGGCAAAGATGGGGATGAATTTGAGGTTCCAGCAATTCCTTACTATAGTGATATCCCCACTATTCTCTTCTTTGGACTTCTGGGTATAACATACTTTTTCCTTTCACCTCTAATTCTGCCATTTCTCTTGGTTTACTTTTGCCTTGGATACATCATCTTTCGCAACCAGGTACGCAAAATGTTTCTTATATATTTTATTTGTTATGGATTACTTAGCTCTTACATGTTAGATATTAATTTGAATGATCATCAAGGCTTCATATTCAGCAAACGTTAAAAGTACTAACAAATCTATGAAGATTTAATTTTCATGATAACATGATCTGAATTAGAAAACCCTTAGATTTTTATTATATAAATTGGATCAAAAGTGAATTTCAGTTCTGCAAAGTTTTTTATTTAGATTTGGACTTGGCTGTGATACATAAAGTAAATTTTTTCAAGTTGATGCGAACATTTTGAAATTTAACATGAGACTTCAATGTTATGTGATTTAAGGTAATGAGTGTTGTAGCAATTTGCTCTGTAGCTTGCTTGCTGTGAACATCTGAGCAGTACAATCCACTTTTCTCTGCCTTCACCTTTCCACTCTGATGCTATACAACTATAGCCTTTCTCTCTTGAACTCTTGATGATTAGAGCCTTATTTCAAAAGTCAAATTGACATATTTGATAGTTGATTACTTTTGTTTTGGCAGAATCTTGGCTTTAAAAGGAAATGACAAGTTACCGGCATTACTGGACTCATATTATTTTCTTACATTCTTAATATAAGTGACACTTAAAGACAACAAATTTTAGAGCATCTGGTCTAAACATAATGGGTGAAAATTAGTTCTTAGTTATCTAAAATTTCCAAATTAGGTTTTAGGGGAAGTTATATTAATATATTGTTCATTGTATTTCTACATTTTTTGCAGCTGTTGAATGTGTATGCACCGAAGTATGAAACTGCTGGAAAGTTTTGGCCTATAGTGCACAATTCAACAATTTTTTCCTTGGTACTGATGCATATTATTGCAATTGGAATATTTGGGCTTAAGAATCTACCTTTGGCGTCTAGTTTAACTATTCCTCTCCCCATACTCACTCTAATTTTCAATGCATACTGCCGGAACCGGTTTCTACCTTTATTTAAAGCTTATCCTACTGAGGTACATTGCTCATATATCTATTATTTTTCTAGTCCTAACAAACTTATACTTTTACTTATGCTTTGATGGTATTCAATTCAATTGCTTGTTTTTTTTTCCCCTCGCTTTACTTCCATTACACAACTAGAACTACTTTATGCCACAAGTGCCTTATAGATGGAGAAATTTTAGTATTCCCTTCCGTACTTTATGCATTTTGTTAATTTGGTTCCTTGTGTCATGTTTTTGTCTAAAGATGTTAAATTTATAATAATAATAATAACTCCTGAGTTGATTTTGTTAGAATTGCTGCATATCGAGTACAAAAGTATGCCAACTTTTCAATTCTGTTGTAAATCTTCTGTATCAATCAATCCATATGAAATTAGGTTTCATGATTAATTGATAAATAAAATAATTTCTGACTGGCATTAACCTCTCATCTTTCTCAACCATTCTAGTCTAGATTATTTTCATCTTCTTTGCTTGCAATATCTTATGGAGACCATGGAAAATATTCTGCCATGTCTATTTCTTCTATTTAGATTACATATAAATAGGAATACAAAAGTGTCTATATTTGGAAAGAATTCTATACAAATCAAATCTCTTAATTTATCTCCTAATTTCTCTCCCAGCTTTCATCCTAATTAGCATCCCCTTGATCTGGCTGTCACTGATTTCTCCTTCTCAACACTCCCTCTCAAGCTGGCTTGTAAATGTCTTCCATAGCTAGCTTGCTTACTAGGAAATCAAATTATTTCTTCTATAGTCCCTTAGTGAGTATATCAGCTATCTGTTCAATGGTTGGTATGCAAGGAACAAAGATCAGGCCACTTTCAAGTTTCTCTTTGATAAAATTTCTATCCATTTCGATGTGTTTGGTTCTGTCATGTTGAATAGGGTTATGTGCAATCAAAATGGCAGCCTTGTTGTGACAATATGCTTTCATAGGAAGTGACTTAGGAATCTTCAGATCTTCTAATAGCCTCTTGATCCACATTACTTCACAAATCCCATGTGCGAGAGATCTAAAGTCAACTTCAGCACTATTTCGATCTACTACATTCTGTTTCTTACTCCACCAGGTGACTAGATTTCCCCCAACAAAAGTACAATATCTTGACTTTGATCTTCTATCAGAAATGCTACCTACCCAATCAGCATCTGTATAGATTTCAACCTGTATATTATCACGTTTTTTAAACATCAAACCTCTCCCAAGTGTCCCCTTTAGATACCTTAGTATTTTGTAGGTAGCTTCAAAGTGCTTTTGAACTGACGAGTGCATAAATTGACTTATCATGCTTACAGCGAAGGCTATGTTAGGACGAGTGTGTGATGGATATATCAATCTTCTCATCAGTCGTTGAAATTTTTCTCTATAAATCACATCTTCATCTTCAGCAGGACTGAGTTTTAGGTTAGCCTCAATTGGAGTTTCGACTACTTTATATCCCAATAGCTTGGTTTCTCCAAGTGAGTCAAGGATATCCTTCCTTTGATTCACAAATATTCCTTCTTTTGATCTTGTAAATTCCATTCCAAGAAAATATTTCAATGCTCCCAGGTCTTTAGTTTCAAACTCCTTTGCTAGCTTCCTTTTCAATCTTTTAAGTTTTTCATGGTCTTCACATGTTAAGATTATATCATTTACATAGACAATTAGAATTGCAATTTTTCTCATTTCAGAATGCTTATAAAATAGTGTGATCTGCTTGACTTTGGTAAAAGTCATAGCTTTTCACTGCCTTCCCAAAACTCCCAAACCATGTCTGTGGAGATTGTTTCAGGCCATATAAAGACTTTTTGAGCCTACACGCTATTTTGGCCAACAATTTTTTCAAAACCTGGTGGTGGACACATAAACACTTCTACCAAATTACCATTCAGAAATGCATTCTTCATATACAGTTTTGAAATTGACTGCAAGAGATAGTAAAATTTGAATAGAGTTATTTTAGCTACTAGGGCAAAAGTCTCTTAGTAATCAATACTATAGGTTTGAGCAAACCCCTTATCAACAAGTCTCACTTTGTATCTTTTTACACTTTCATCAGCCTTGCACTTAAACATAAACACCCATTTACAACCAATTGTTCTTTGGTCTTTGGGCAGCTTCACAACTTCCCATGTTCCATTTTTCACTAGAGCATGCATCTCCTCGATTATTGTCGATTTTAATTTTGGATTATTAAGTGCTTCCTGAATGTTTCTCGGAACAAACAGATTAGAGATTTTTGATGTAAATGCCTTATGATTCTGAGATAGTTTATCATATGTAAGATATTTTGCAATAGGATGACTAGTACAAGACCGGGTACCTTTTTTAAGTGCTATGGGAATGTCTAGGTCATAGTAAGTATCAAGAACAAGAATAATATTGGATAATAGAGGGTTTAGGGCACCTTGCATGTCTACAGGCTCATCACTTGGGATGCCTAATTGATTTTGTGCCTTGGGAACAGTAGTAGGTTCTCTACCATTTTGATGATTCTTTCTCCTTGTGTAAACTCTAAACTCAGGTTCCTATCCTTTAGGATCATCTTGTATTATTTCTTTTCTTGTCGAATTTTCAATATTTTTTGGCTCTATAATATTAGAAACAACGAGCTTTTGGACATTTTCATGGGAATCTACGATTTTAGGCAAGGGAGTGGAATTAACTTTCTAAAAATTCCAACCCCCACACGGCCCGAAGAAAATTTTCCTAGAAAAAAGGGTTGATGTTCAAGGAAGGAGACATTCATAGTGACAGATTTTTCGGGTGCTAGGATTAAAACATTTGTACCCTTGTTTGTTTGGGGCATAGCTTATAAAAATACATTTTTTCGTCTTGATATCTAGTTTGGACCGCCCCTTAGTAGGTACATGGATATATGCAATGCTCCCAAAAACTCTTAGTGGTAAATTGGAATAGATTCAGGCTTTAGGAATTTTTTTTTTAAGCACTAAAGGGGTGTACTATAGTTAAGAACCCGAGTAGATAAATAGGATGCTGTTAAACAGCTTCCCTCCAGAGAAATTTGGGAACATTTTTAGAAAACATAATGGCACGAGACACTTTTAGTAAATATTTATTTTTACTTTCAACAATCCCATTTTGTTAAGGAGTATCGATACAAGTAAATTAATGTTGAATGCTCGTGTCTTAAAAAATGACATAGAATCTCATTAAAATATTCAGTGCCATTATTAATGTGAAGAATGCCCATTTTTTGTTGAAATTGATATTCAATCATTGTATAACAATTTTTAAATAAGGTTTTAACTTCTGATTTTTCACTCGTCAAGTAAATCCAACACGAATGAGCATGATCATTAATAAATGTCACAAACTATTTTTTTTCGAAACTGTGCTAATCTACGAAGGACCTCAAACATCATTATGGATAAGATAAAATGGTTTTGAAGGTTTGTAAGGTTGTCAAGGATAAAATGATTTGTGACTTTTTGACAAAATACAATTTTTGCAATGAAATGTTGAACAATCAAATCTTCCAAATAACATAGAAAAAAGTTTTTTCAAATACTAAAAACTAGGATATCCTAACCTATAGTGCCAAAGCATAATTTGATCCATGATAGAAAGACAAGTGACACTACTTAAGCCTTGAGATTTTTTACCCTTGGAATCTTCATCATCAAAATAGTAGAGACCATCTATCGTCTTAGCATTGCTAATCATCCTTCCCGAGCTCTAGTCCTAAAACACACAATGAGAGTCAAAGAAAGTAACTTGGCAGTTAGAATCTTTAGACAATTTTCTAACAAAAAGGAGATTATAAGTAAGTTTAGGTACATGGAGAACAAATTTAAGGAACAAGGTACTAGATAAGGTTACCAGACCTTTACCAGCAATAGGAGGATGTGATTCATCTACTATACGAACTTTTTCATAGCTAGAACAAGGGTTATAAGTGTGAAATAAATTTAAAAGACTTGTCATATGATCAGAAGCTCTTGAATCAATGATCTAACGAGTAGAAAAAGAATGACATACTAGAGCATTAGGATTACTACTTGAATGTGCCAGAGCATTAGGATTACTACTTGAATGTGCCAAAGAAGCATTAGGTGCATCCAACAATCCAGAACTAGATTTCAGCAGCTCTAGAATGTGATCCAATTGCTCTTTACTGAAAGAGGCAGTCCCGGCTTCATGAGCAGTGGCTGGCCTGTTGATGTTCTCATTTTTTCCTTTCCAATTTGCTGGTTTTCCATGCAACTTCTAGCAGGTTTCACGTGTATGCTTTGGCTTATTGCAATAGTCACATCACATGCGGGGGATTTTTTCTCCAATTTCTCCTGAACCATTCAGCCAGCACAAGCCTCTGCAGCAAGGGTGGAATTCTCTACTTTTTTGTCAGGTTTTTTCTTCCTTAGCATCATAAGTCTGCAGCTTTCTTCCCTTCGAACTTCAGAAAACACTTCTCCAATGGATGGAAGTGGCTGTCTATCAATAATTCTGTCCTTA